AAACATATGACGCCTGTGACCTTGAATGTCGAACAAGGACATTAGGTTGATCAGAGTTTAAAGTCTTCCAACCCAGCATGCTTTTGGCAAAATATCATAACCCTGGACCTATTGGTTATACAGAACAATTCATTTAATGATTTAAACATATATTGACCACTGTGACCTTGAATATGGGTGAAGGTCATTCATTTTGAAAAAATTGGTAGCCCTTCATCCCAGCCTGTTAATGACCAAATATCATCACCCTTGGCCTTTGGCTAATTTAGAAGTAGTCGTTTAAAGGTTTTAAACATATTTGACCCCTGTGACCTTGAATATAAGTAAGGACCATTCATTTGAATATACATGGTTGCCCTTTATCCCAGCATGCTACTGGCCAAATATCATCATCCTAAGACTTTCGGTTATTGAGAAGAAGTTGTTTAAAGGTTTTAAACATATTTNTTGACCCCTGTGACCTTGAATATAAGTAAAGGTTATTCATTTGAACAAACCTGGTAGCCCTTCATTCTAGCATGTTACTGGCCAAATATTATTAGCCTTGGCCTCTTTGTTATTCAGAAGAAGTTGTATAAAGATTTAAGACAATTGACCCCTGTGACCTTGAAAATGGACGAAGGTCATTCATTTGAACAAACTTGGTAGCCTTTCATCACAGCATACTACTGGCCAAATAGCATCATCATAGGCCTTTATATTCAAAAGAAGTTGTATAAATGTTTTAAACATATTTGACCCCTGTGACCTTGAATATAAGTAAAGGTCATTCATTTGAACAAACTTGGTAGCCCTTCATTCTAGCATGTTACTGGCCAAATATCATTAGCCTAGGCCTCTTTGTTATTCAGAAGAAGTTGTTTAAAAAATTTTTAAGACAATTGACCCCTGTGACCTTGAAAATGGATGAAGGTCATTCATTTGAATATACTTGGTAGCCCTTCATCCCAGCATGCTACTAGCCAAAAATCACCACTCTGGGCATTCAAAAGAAGTTGGGTAAAGGTTTTTAACATATTTGACGCCTGTGACCTTGAAAATAGGTGAAGGTCATTTATTTGAACAAACTTGGTAGCCCTTCATCCTAGTTTACTTCTGGCCAAATATCATCACCCTAGTCCTTTTGGTTATTAAGAAGAAGTTGTTTAAAGTAAAATATTGACGCCGGACGCCGGACGACAGACGCCGGACAGACGGCAACGGACGCTGCACCATGGTATAAGCTCACTTGGCCCTACGGGCCAGGTGAGCTAATAATTACAGTTTCGTATATAACCAGGTAATAGCAAAGTAACAACAGATAATTTGATAAAAGTCAGATCAAATGTGACACAACCTGTTATACTGAAATCTATCATGTGAAAATGAATGTGTAATAACTGCTGCTAAAGTCTCTTTTAGTATATTTAGTCTGTGTGCTGAACCAAGCATTCACCAAGATTGATTTCTGGTGATATATTAATCAAGAGATTAATTACTTGTAATAAAATTTGGAAGAAAAAATGTAATGGTATAAAAACTTGGAAATGGGACACATGGTGGGCTGACTTACTTCCTCATAGATTTAGCAAAACATAGTATACATGTCATATTTTTCAATATGGATTGTGGAATAAGCTGTTATTAAAAGTTTTGTTTGTTTTATTTTAATGAGACTGTACACGATATTCTCCATTTATATATATATTTCTAGCTTATCTACTACCACGAAAGTAAATATTATCAATATTTATCATTCCTGTAAGTTTGGTTGAAGATCAGGTATAATTTGATGCAGTCATTTCTAAATTATGACTTATGTGATTATCAATAAGATATTGTAAAGCACTACATGTAAAAAGTCATAATTATATATACATGTCATTGTAATATGGATTCTGCATACCAGGTTTTTGTTACAAATCGTTAAATTTGTTTTTTCTTTTTACAAGAATATTCTAGGTCATGGATATTTATGCAGAAAGCCTTATGTAAGAAGACACCAGGATAGAAAAAAAACTCTGGACAATTTAATGTGAAAAAAAATAAAAATCCATAGGTCCTGTAAATGTGTTATTAATTTGATATACTCCAAAGACAAATATTCCTATCTTTGCTTCTTATTCTGTATAATGTTTCAAAAATGTGATTTGATTAAAATCAATGTAAGTTTTTAAAATGTGTTTTATTCATTTTCTTCTCTCCTGTTATGAAATGACTAAAATACATAGTAAGTTTACTTAGTAAATATTAATAACTTTCCAAGAATGAATTTCTCTCAGGAATTCTGGTTCAGATTCAGAATCTGATATAAAACTTTTAGATTATTCTCAAGTTCAATGTTTTCTGGTGTTATGAACGAGAGTCCACAGAAATACAATGTATTAGATTCCAAAAACTGCATACATGCCCCCCCCCCCCCCCCCCCCCCCCCCCNATGTACATTTCAACTTTATATCAAGGTGTTTATAACAGTTCATCATGCATGTGTAACCAGATGCTTTTGTGCTCATTTGAAATATATATGTACATTGAAAAGATCTTTATAGTTACTTTGTAAGCAGAGGAGCTTTGACCCCCTGTCACACACACAAGTGTACATTGTAACTGTGCCACCACCTCCCCACCTCCTCCTCATATTAGTCTCAGAATCCCACACTGGGAACTAGAATGTTCTTCTCGGATTGAATGTATTTGACTCTGTGCTTCTCAACAAGTGAAAACAATATTTCGATCTAAAAAGTAACAAGAGGCCCAATGGGCCTGCATCGCTCACCTGGTATTAATCTCACAATTGTAATCTAAAAAGAGTACTAAAATAAAGCTACAGGCAAAATATCAGCGTCTTGACTTAAAGTTTAAAGTAATTCAGAAAAAATGGGCAAAGGTCATTCATTTGAACAAACTTGGTAGCCCTTCTTCCCAGCCTCTCGGTAATTCAGAAGAAGTCGTTTAAAGGTTTTAAACATATTTGACCCCAGTGACCTTGAATATAAATCTAGGTAATTTATTTGAACAAACTTGGTAGCCCTTCACCCCAGCTAGTTACTGGCGTAAATATCATCCCCCTATGCCTCTTGGTTATTCAGAAGAAGTCGTTTAAAGGTTTTAAACATATTTGACCCCAGTGACCTTGAATATAAATCAAGGTCATTTATTTGAACAAACATGGTAGCCCTTAATCCCAGCATGTTACTGGCCATATATCATCACCCTAGGCCTCTCGGTTATTCAGAAGAAGTCATTTAAAGGTTTTAAACATATTTAACCCCTGTGACCTTGAACATAAATCAAGGTCATTTATTTGAAAAAACTTGGTAGCCCTTCATCCCAGCATGCTTTTGGCCAAATATCATTACCCTAGCACTTTTGGTTAATGAGAAGAAGTTGTTTAAACTTAAAAGTTGACGACGGACGGACGGACGATGGACGCCGCACCACGGCATAAGCTCACTTGGCCCTTCGGTCCAGGTGAGCTAAAAACTTTGTACATTAATGTAAACTGGTGGAGCTGTTTTAGATATGTGTTACTGAGGATGGTATTCAACCTGGCCTTGAAGCCTTCCAATGTTGATGCCTCCACTACTAATTCTGGTGCGAGATATTCTTCTAGTTTGTTACTCTGTCCTGTCTAGATCTTAGCATGTGCTCTCCTCAAGTTGTGCAGTCACCTGCTGTGACCTATACTGCTGGAACTGGCAGCCTGTATGTTTAGATGATCAGGTCAAAAAAGATATTGACACTTAATGCTCTGTGTGACCAAAAGTGTAATAACAAGGTAGACAAGTGCTCGTTTGGAATGAAATACAGTGTATGTGTAATTGTTTACATCTATGCATTGAATTGTCATATATTAAAATCAGCTTTTTAAACATTTTGAATGTCAGAAGTATATATTGCTCAGTATATACATAAAGTGTAAGACATATGACCAAAATAATTTGCGAAACTTATTTTTAGTTCTGGAAACTTATATCACGGAAACAAACATATTCCGCTCTTAGTCTGTACTTCTGGAACAGTGTGTTTTGAGCTCTATTGTCTATGTTACTATAAATATACAGCAATAATTAGATGTAGACTAGGTAGCAAATATTTGTTCAATATGAATTGTATATTTACCGACCTGCATATACAGGAACTACACAACAAACAGTGAAATCAAGCACAACACGTTTGGAATGGTGCGCTAGCATTGTGTACGGAACTATAATTTCGTGTATAATACCGAACCCGGAGGCGGTCCGAAGATATATAGCGATCCGGAATAATGATCGGAACTTCGAAACATTGATTTTTATTTAAGTTCCGAGCATCAATGCTACTTGATTTTAATGTATATCAAATAAAAGTGTAGGGACACGATAGAAGAGTTATAGTTTTGACGGTATGGAGAATAATTTTGTCTTTTACGCATCAAAATAGAAATAGGCAAATTTGGGTGGGGGAACGGAGTCCTAACTTCAAGTGAGTGAAATTGCAAAATTTTCGCCGGAAACCCCACATTTTTTTATGTTTACCGAAAATCATATATACTTGGCTGTCTTCTTTAAAAGTTTTATAAACTGACATGGGTTTTGATCACATTTTTGCCTGTTTTTAATGCATTTGTTCGATGTAAATTTGTTAAAATTGCATTTTGAAGAGAATGGATGGCCACGAAATATGCATAAATATACCAAATATTATCATTTTTGTTTTATTTCTATTCTTGATAGTATATCAATTAATATTTAATAAATATTCAACTTGGTGGTAACTCAAATTTTGTAAATATTGTAGAAAACAATTTTTTATTTAATTTTCATATATTTGGGAAAATTTGCAGCTGAAACATCTCAAAAGTAAGTCGAGAACCCCCTTTTTTCTTTTCATATATGGAATCTACGTAAAAAATGCAAGAAAATAAGCCTAGTTAGAAAAAAATGACATGGGTTTTTCCAAAAGGATGGACCCACCTTAATACATAGAGAATAGTGACCTTTTCAGACAAATATCATTTATATAGAAGTTATATATATATATATATACCAGACACAAATCTTTTGACCATACACTGTTTTCTTCCATTATTTTCATTTGTTGTCATTGTGAGTTACTATTCTCAGTTTCGATAGTCTTTTTCTACATTGGATAAGATATGAAAGATGTGACGTCAGGGTTGTAATGCTGATGATGTCAGTTGTATTATCAGTTGTATTATCTTACATACCAGCAATGATTATTTGTTTGTCCGTATATTTTTCCTAGGGTTCTCTCCATCAAGCTGTCATAGTGTTCTCCAATAACTGGTGCAGTGAACTCACCTTGAAATTTCATATGCGTGGAGTAGCTGATCACTCCTAGGTTCAGAAAATTGGTCATTAAATAAATCTTCTGGAAGTTGTTACCACTTGTCAATATTGCTGAAGATAATAGGAAATTCCCTACAAACACTCTCCTTGGACATGGCTGGGAATTCCCTACAAACACTCTCCTTGGACGTGGCTGGGAATTCCCTACAAACACTCTCCTTGGACGTGGCTGGGAATTCCCTACAAACACTCTCCTTGGACGTGGCTGGGAATTCCCTACAAACACTCTCCTTGGACGTGGCTGGGAATTCCCTACAAACACTCTCCTTGGACGTGGCTGGGAATTCCATGTACAAACATGATGCCCCTTTGAACTGGTCTGAAAAATAACAACCAAAGATGAAATCTAATTTTTATGAAAATTACAATATCCATATAATTCAAGTATGAAGCGTATGTATGACATGTATGTACCCAGACGGAAAACCCATAATCCGTCCTGTTAAATTTTTGACAGGCGTATAGATATCTACTGGGAAAACTGAAGTTTGAAGAAAGATGCTGAAGCTGGGAAGAAGAAACAAGTCTTACAGTGACTTCCATTGAGCCAAGGGATTAATGCAGGAATAGAAAGTTAGTAGCCTTTCTGGGGAAAATAGGCGCTGTAGGTACATGACCTGTTCAGCGAGGGCTGCAAGGCCGGAGCCTGGGGGAGAGTATAAGAGAGGGGGGGCCATGGATTACCTCGGTGCCTGGGGGAGAGTATAAGAATAGGGGGGGGGGGGGGGGGGCATGGATTACCTCTTCGTCTGCTGGATAACTGAACTACTTGGTAGTGAAGCGGACGTAAAACCTATCAATCAATCAAATCAATCAGGATTACTTCTTTAATTTTGTTTCACGCTGTTCATTATAGATTATGAAATTTCAGCAGTGACAATGAACATCAACACAGGGAAAATGAAATAAATCACTCAGTTATGGAACTAATGTAAAATTAAAAGAACATACAGGCCCCTCTGGGCCTGTATCGCTCACCTGGAAGTGTTAGCAAAATTGAAGTTGAAATAGCCAGATGTTGCTATACATGTATTATATGGCTAGTCAGGGGTTATATTTATATGCAATTGGACAAAATCAAATTTCCAATAATCATTCCAACAGAAAAAGAAGGAATTTGAAGAATTTGCTAGGTTTCCACTATTGGGCCCGGACCCTCTGCCCCAGGTGGGTCAGACCCATCGTTGATACAAAATTAGTTCCCCTTCACCCAAGCATGCTTTAGACCAAATATGGACATAATCCTCCTTCACCCAAAGAAGAAGAAGAATTTTAAAGAATTTGCTAAATTCCCCCTTATTGGGCCCAAACCCCTCAGGCCCCAGGGGGGCGACACCCACCATTTATACAAAATTAAGTAACCTTGGCCTAAGGATGCTCCAGACCAAATTTAATCAAAATCTACTTGGCCGTTCAGGACTAGTATAGTGTTTTAAAGGAAAAGTTGACGGACGAAGGACAACGGACGGGCATATGCTCTTCATGGTCCTTTGGACCAGGTGAGCTAAAAAAGGTCTAAAGACAGATATTCATGTGGTAGTATTTCAGTTACTAGCGGTGAATTTTGAACTGAAATAGAGGAAAATAATGCCAGAATTGGAGAGTGTAACTGGCCCATATTCGGCCATAACAAAAGCCTGTATATATCTCCATGAGCAAACTACCAAAGTTGCAAATTAACAGTTTCAATAGTAATTTTCTTTTTGCACTGTTCTTTATGAGAGTGGGAGTCACATTTTATACCCCCACCCCCAATCAGAAAAAGGTTGATGTGGTCAAGTGGGATTTTTTTTGTATTTGACATTGACTGATGACCACCAAAATCAAACCAGGTATAGAACCTGATGTTACCATACTACGGTGTATTAACAATTTAACATAAATTAAATCTGTGGAATGGGATATTTTACACAAGCTTTTTACTATAGACACACGCACAGACATACTGACTGACACAGTGAAAAGTATACCAGGTATGTATAAATCCCTATTGTATATATCCCTATAATTTCTGTTTTCAGGCATATAAAAGTTCATGAGGAAAACAGATTATGTATATATTAAAATATGTATTTATAGTACAACCAAACCTGCTTTAAGACTACCTGTCTATAAAGATCCCTTTTAAACTGTTTCAAGTAATTTTACTTTATGACACTGTGTATAGCGAAGCGACCACTTGCTCAAAATGATCAGCGACCATTCTTTTAGGTTTTTACAAAAGGTTCTATAGCGACATCTGTTTCTACTAAAAATTTACGAAATTCAGGTCCATAATGGCAGCTAGGCTAATATAAAAATGTCAGAAGAATTAATCAATTTCTTACCAATGGCAACAGAATTTCTCGCTTTGGTACGAGGCACATCTGTCCTTTTTTCAGCAGCTCTGGTAAATCTACCATGCTCATTGGCTTAATTCTGGTCTTCCCTTCATTGACACGAGCCAGGTTAAATCCACCTCTGGGTAGCAAGACATCTGCCAAAAGATGATGGTTTTTTAAAGGGGCTTAATGCATCAGTTAATTGTTTCATAAAATTGTACTATCTTTTCAAAGAAGTGATGACCTGTAACTAAGGTTCAGTAACAGAGACCTTTACCCTAGAATGCTGATATGGGAGATTATCTCCAAACAATGTTTTGAAACTAATGTTACACCCAAACAAAATCAGTAAATACTAGAAACGTATCATAGTTGAATACATTGTAATATAAATGAAACACACATTTTCATGTATACATTTTACAAGTACGGTTGTTTGGACCCTCAGGTTCACATCCATACAAGTATTAATTGTTATTTTATAAATTTATCTTACCAAGTAATTAAGCAATAAGTTGGTCCTCCAATTGTAAAATGTCTATGTCCAGACGAAATGTAGATTTGGTATTCATTGTTTCCATCAATCCTGGTTGTTCCAATTCTGTTGATCCTAAATGAAAAATATGAATAAATAAATAATAACGATCTGGCTGCTGGTTATCAAACAAAAAATGTGAATTATTTGTATAAAGGACATCAGGGTGGAACATTGATGTTATAACATTGTGTGGAATATTGATGATATAACATTGTGTGGAACATTGATGCTGTAACATTGTGTGGAACATTGATGATATAACATTGTGTGGAACATTGATGATATAACATTGTGTGCAACATTGATGCTGGAACATTGTGTGGAACATTGATGCTGTAACATTGTGTGGAACATTGATGCTGTAACATTGTGTGGAACATTGATGCTGTAACATTGTGTGGAACATTGATG